ACTGCCTTCAGCTCGGATCATGATCCTGGAGTCCTGGGATCGAGTCCCACATCGGGCTCCCTGCTCAGCAAGGAGTCTGCTTCTCCCTCTGACACTCCTCCCTCTCATGCTGTCTCTCATTCTCTCTCTCGCAAATAAATAAAATCTTAAAAAATAAATAAATAAATAAAATCTTAAGGGGTGCCTGGGTGGCTCAGTCGTTTAAGCGTCTGCCTTCGGCTCAGGTCATGATCTCAGGGTCCTGGGATTGAGCCCCACATTGGGCTCCCTGCTCAGCAGGAAGCCTGCTTCTCCCTCTCCCACTCCCCCTGCTTGTGTTCCCTCTCTCGCTGTGTCTCTCTCTGTCAAATAAATAAATAAAATCTTTAAAAAAAAATACCTTCTTTAATTCTTCAAAATGTTTTTCTCAATTAATCTAAAATGTAGCATCCCTACTTTCCAATCTAGTGCTAGAGTACTTTTCCTACATAGCTTTTAATAGCAAACTACTATGATAGAAAATGTTAAATACGTTGTTATGTTTTTGCTGTAGCAGGGAGACTACACTTGACCCAACGCAATATCTTTGTGGATCCAACTCACAAGACCATAAAGTTCCTAAGAACTTAAACTCATGGGATGTTGGAAAGAATGACTAGTCACAGCAAAACTTTGCACTAGGGGTGGGAGAGATGTGAGAAAAATCATTTGTTTAGTAATAGAACTAGAATCACAGCTTTTGAAAACCAGTGAGTAAGATATACCCCCAGTGAAGAGGATGCAGATATATGTAAGCTGGGAGAGTTTGAGGAGGAGGAATTGGAAAATAACCACTAAAGCACAGAACAGATTCTTCAGTTGTTTGTTCTGCATCTGTTCAACAGTCCCAGCTACTAAGTAGGAGAGAGCAGGAATCCTAGGACAATCCAATTTTAAGCTAGTTAAAATATCACATACATTATCAGAATGAGAAAGTTCATATATATTCTTGTGAAAAATAGTTTAAGTTCTTAATCTCAAAAGCAAAACAAAATGAGATACTTGCAGAGACATTTTCCATTTTATATAAAAAAAAAACTTGTGGTATTAAAACCACAATGAGATACCACTTCATACCCAATAGAAGGCTATTATCATAAGAACAGAAAGAACAAGCATTGGCAAGGTTGTGGAGAAACCGGAACCCCTGTGCATTGCTGGTGAGAATGTAAAATGGTGGAAAACACTATGGAGATTCTTCAAAAACTTAAACACAAAATTAATGTATGATTCAGCAATTCCACTTCTGGGTAGATACCCAAACGAACTAAATGCAAGGACTCAAACAGATATGTGTACACCAATGTTCACACAAGCATTACTCACAATAGTCACACACAAGCATTACTCACAATAGTCAAAAGGTAGAAGCAACCGAAGTATCCACTGACAGATAAATGGAGGAACAAAGTCGTCCCTACATACACTGGAATATTATTCCATTTTAAAAAGGAAGGACATTTTGACACATGCTACCTACAATAAGGATGAACCTTGAAGACATTATGCTAAGTGAAATAAGGCAGTCCACAAAAGGACAAATATTGTATGGTTCCATTTATAAGAGGTACCTAGAATAGTCAAATTCATAAGCATAGAAAGTAGAATGTGGTTGCCAAGGCTGGCAAGAGGAAGAATAGGGAATTACCGTTTAATGAGTACAGGGTTTCAGTTTAAAAAGATGAAAAAGCAGAGGCACTGGGTGGCTCAGTTGGTTAAGTGCTTGCCTTTGGCTCAGGTCATGACCTCCAGGTCCTGGGACCAAGCCCTGCGTCCAGCTCCCTGCTCGGCGGGGAGCCTGCTTCTCTCTCTCTCTCACCCCCCCGCCCCTCCCCGCTGCTCATTCTCTCCCTCTCTCAAATAGAGTAAAAAAAAAGATGAAAACGTTCTGTGGAAGTATGCTGGTGATGGTTGCACAATTGTGTGAATGTACTTAATGCCACTGAACTGTACACCTAAAAATGGTTAAAATGATAAATTGTTATGTTTTACTATAATTTATTTTATTTTACTATGACCAACTTAAACATTTTTGATTTATAAGATTCTTAATAAGTATTCAATATGTAAGACAACTGACCATCTAATTAGAGTTTAAAAAAAAAGTTTCTAGTTTTATCCTCCAAATTTTCTTTTTTTTTCTTTTTAAGTAGGCTCCACGCCCAGTGTGGACCCTAATGGAGGACTTGAACTCACAACACTGAGATCAAGACCTGAGCTGAGATCAAGAGTTGGACGTTTAACTGAACCACCCAAGGGCCCCACGTTTTACCTTTTTTTCAAATATTTACTTATTTATATTACAGAGAGAGAGTGTGTGTGTGTGCACGACCAGGGGGAGGGGCAGAGGGAGAAAGAGAGATTCCTCAAGCAGACCCCCTGCTGAGCATGAAGCCTGACGCGGAAACTCGATTCCAGGACCCTGAGATCATGACCTGAGCTGAAATTAAGACGCTTAACCAACGGAGCCATCCAGGTGCCGCCCCCCTCCCCACATTTTATTTCTAAAGACAAAGGATTAAGTTCATCATGGCAATACCCTAGGAATAACCAAAGAGAGAGCAAAAAATTGAAAAATGGTCTATCATAATATAAATAGTTCTTTGGGAACTTACCTTACAAATCACAGTAACCAGACAGAGGTGGCAGTTTCCACATGGTGTGAACTCAAAAGTAATCTCCTATATATACTGAGCTAGCAAATGTAACATCAACATGATGATAATGCATTCTATTGCATGTAAAATTATTGTTTTTCAAATATATATCTTTTATTTCTACTTAATAAAATCACTCTCCACCACTTTAATACTGAAAAAAAAATTAAGTAAAATCTGTGTTAACCAGTGTGACTGACCATAAAACTGGGTGAAATTATAATCGCTAACTGCTGTTTTCTACATCCATAGAAAGCGTTGAGGTGCTGAATTTTCTACAAGATTTATGAAAAAACTCCATGCCTACTTATTAGATTCCTGACACGGTTAATAAGTATATATGCTACATTGCTTATGAAGAGATATCATCCCAAAGCCTTATGAAAAAAACCTAGGGAAAACTTTTAGGTAAGGTAGTAAGAAAATAGGTCCAACAATCCTCACTGATCAGATGTTTAAATTTCCCCTGATATAAAGCAAAAATGATCTGAAATGTGGTACACATAAATATATAATGCCACAAGACTTGGCTAAAATGTTACATATCCACTAAAGAGGAAATTTGGTTGAAGGAAGCATTTGGGGTGACCAGAACTTCCTTAATATACTTTTTCTAATTAACATTTGGGCATCAGTTCCCCCAGGATATTTCTATGACTGGCTAAAAAAGTAGGCAATAACTTCTCAAACCTAAAACATAACATTCCAAACTCCAGTTTTTTCTTGTCTCCCATAGCAATTCCCTAATACTGAATTAAAATGATGGTACATGAATAGAAATATGTTTATGCCACCCAGGTAGCCTGAGAGGGCAATTCTAAAAGAGAGGCTGGGGCACCTGGGTGGCGCAGTCGGTTAAGCATCTGACTCTTGATTTCAGCTCTGGTCGTGATCTCAGGGCCATGGGACCAAACCTCAAGTCATGTTCCCTCAGCAGGGAGTCTGCTTCTCTCCCTCTCCCTCTGCCCCTCCCCTGACTTGTGCTTGCTCTCTCTCTCTCAAATAAATTCTTTTGAAAAAAGAGGTTATTGTCTTATACAGCACACATCTAATAGGCTATCACACATAAAATAGAAATAACCCATTTTCTTATTAAAGATTTTTCTGAAACTGTTGAAAGAAAACTTATGTTTAATCAAAATATCTGCTAAATAAACACCCTAATGAAAGAGTAACCTAACAATAATATCATGACAATCTACCCAGCTACTCATTTACAAAAACATTTGCCTCTTGGGCGCCTGGGTGGCTCAGATGGTTAAGCGTCTGCCTTCGGCTCGGGTCGTGATCCCTTGTCCACCGAACTCTTAGATGCAGGGAATATGGTCTATAAACCAAATCATATTTTTAAAAACTTGTTTCATTAAGGCATGGTTTCTCAACCTAGGCACTACTGATATTTGCAGCAGGACAATCCCCTGCCATAGGGCCTGTCCTGGGCAATGTAGAATGTGTAGCAAGAGTCTGACCTCCTCTACTAGAAACTCGTGGCTCCCCTCCCTCCACCCCAGACATGACACCCAAAAACATCTCTAGACATGACCAAATGTCCCCAGGGGGGCAAAATTAACCCAGCTTAAGAACCATTCTCTAAGGATTAAACAATCTTGACAGCACTTCAGACCTTCCTTTCTCTCTACTCATAATTTAATAAATATTAACTACTTTCCTTCCAATGATTTTTCAAATTTTATACCCAAAGCCCTTGAGTACCCAGAAGTGCCTCAGGAGCACCCATGGATATAACCTGAGCAAGTCCACTTTCATTTTTTCTGGGGTTCTGGGTATTTTCCTTGAAGGGGTGGGGGAATTTGAAAATCCTGACATAAACATATCATAATGTAAAATTTCATATACCATTAAATAAAAAACTTCATATTTTCCCCCTCCTTTCTCTTTTTATATTTTAAATCAAAGCCAATTTTGGAAAAACAGACAGGTGGAAGAACACTGGAAATGAGAGGGTATATAGCGAAGGGGGGACCAGAAGGCAAGTTGAATGTGCAGCTTATTTGTATTTCTTCAGCCCAACAGGAACTGAAATGAAGTCTTTAGAAGACTTACAGTACTTTCTACCCTGCTTAAACAAACATCAGATGTTCAAAGCCCTGAATTATAAAAGTTGAAGTCCAAGTTGCATCCTCAGGAGGTACCGAAAAATTAAATTAATGCTGAAATTACATGTTAGCTTTGTTTTAAACCTCTAAAAAACTATTTCTTTTTCTCCCCCAAGTGATAAAATTTTTTTCCAGTTTTACTGAGAAATAATTGACATATATCACTATATAAGGTGTACAACATATTTGGTTCTTAAAATGAAAATAGATATTCCTGTTCTTCCCTGCCTTCAAAGATCTCCTAATTCAACCATTTTAAACAGGAAAGCATTATGTATAACATATTGAATCTTCTGTAAAAGAAGGTTTCAAATTTTAACATGCAACCAAATTACATAGGTGCTTGTTAAAATATACACCTTAGCCATAGCTCCTGCAGATTTTGATTAGTGGGAGATGGGAGTAGGAAAGATCCAGTGATCTGCATTTTAAAAAGCATTCCCAGTGATTCTTATAGAGATGGTCTAAAAAACTCATTTTTAACAACACTAGTCGACATGTTGAATTTGGCACCAATGTTATATGTTATAAAATTCTAGCATTCTCTATCAGACTACACCATATTTGGTATTTATTACCAGTAGCCTCTGGTCAACTCAACTAAGATCTAAAAATAAAAATAAAATTTGAATACTATGCAATTAAATGCTCCAGAGTAATGTGTGAGCAAAGAAATAGAAAATAAATATTACAGATTTTTTATGATCAATAGCTAGACTATAAAATCTGACAAATCTGTATCATTAATTCTTTCTTCATGTAAAAACTACACTTATCCCAGCTATAATCTTACATAAGATATGCAAAAAAAATAAATAAAACTTTACTGGTTATAAAAATCCTAGCTCTCCAATAATGGTTTTTCATGCACCACAAATATACCTGCCTCTAGCAAATAGTACAGTCAGTTCATGAATCAGTCACTCTGATTCATTTTGTTCCTGCATACACATTAAGATGACATGCTAGGATGTAAACAGAAAAATGACTTCTCAGGTCATATTTGACATCCGATCATTGTTACTGCATTCCGACTATAGTCTTCATTCCTGAGGATGTGAAAATATTATTTAAGCAAATGGCCATGTCAATTTCATATTCTCCATTTTTGACTTAAGCACAGTTAAAGCAGACAGCATCATTTTCTTTTTGACTTAATGTGCCTTCCAAAATACTCTATTTTTTCAACTCTGATGTCAGTTTTAGAAAACTGATGAGCGGTCCCATACTTATCTATTTTTTCTTATACCAGACAAAAATAGGATTGCTGATAAAGCACACTAACATTTTCACACTTCACCTAACATTCCAAACCCATTCAGTTCAACATTTCACGAGTCTCAGACTGATGGCACATTTAGTCATTGATTTTTTTTTTAGGAGTAGCAACAGGAATCAGCTCCATAGATTCCATGCTCCTTTAGGAAGACACAGGTATTTTGTCTTTGTTTTCAAGACAGAATACCATTAAAAAAATGAGGCAGGGGCGCCTGGGTGGCTCAGTCATTAAGCATCTGCCTTCGGCTCAGGTCCTGATCTCAGGGTCCTGGGATCAAGCCCCGCATTGGGCTCCCTGCTCAGCGGGAAGCCTGCTTCCCCCTCTCCCACTCCCTCTGCTTGTGTTCCCTCTCTTGCTGTGTCTCTCTCTAATAAATAAATAAAATCTTTAAAAAAAACATTTTTTTTAAATGAGGCAATCCTAGAGCAAGGCTTAGCTTTTAAAAAGCATCTATCTCCAAAAGCTTCCAAAGAAACCCAGAAATGAAAAACAGTATCAGGAAGACTAAAACCAAAAATGGGATACGGTTAATGAAAAATGCTAATGATAAAAGAGCAGAGCTGAGGTTTTTGTTTTTGTTTGTTTTAAGCTATGCACATAGAAACATGAACAAAGCAGAGAAAGATTTAGGGTTTGGGGGGAAAGAGTATGACAACAAATGACAAAGAGAAAGCAAAACTACTTGATTTCTATTAGCAGAAAGTAGATCCAACACTGGATTGGGGTCTCTAACTATGAGCAAAGTCACAACCTGTTTTAGACCCAGTTTTCTTACCTATAACTCTATTTATTTCACAAAATTATTATGAGAAACATGAAGGGAAACGTCTATCACACATGTCCAAGAGCTACACAAATACAAATTTTTAATCCTTTAGTGAACAAAATACATTTTTTTTATAAAGGAACATTAAGAGGAAATTGGAGGGCACCTGGGTGGCTCAGTTGGTTAAGTGACTGCCTTCGGCTCAGGTCATGATCCTGGAGTCCCAGGATCGAGTCCCACAGCAGGCTCCCTGCTCAGCAGGGAGTCTGCTTCTCCCTCTGACCCTCCCCCCTCTCATGTGCTCTCTCTCTCTCATTCTCTCTCTCAAATAAATAAATAAAATCTTTAAAAAAAAAAAAAAAGAGGAAATTGGAGGGTGCCTGGGCGGCTCGGTTGTTAAGCGTCTGCCTTCAGCTCAGGTCATGATCCCAGGGTCTGGGAGAGAGCCCCACATCCAGCTGCCTGCTCCACGGGAAGCCTGCTTCTCCCTCTCCCACTCCCCCTGCTTGTGTTCCCTCTCTCACTGTCTCTCTCTCTGGCAAATAAATAAATAAATAAAATCCTAAAAAAAAAAAAAGAGGAAATTGGAAAAAGATTAAAAAATGTATTCACAAAATGTCAGAAGGTGATCTTATATAAAGAAAATATCGTACTGATTTTCAAAAAGCAGTTAGGGATAAGTCTTAGGAACTAGAGACCAGTAAGTCTGATGACACTCACCTGGAAAAACTTGAAAATGTATTATGAAACACGTGATTTGTGAAAACTTGGGGAAAAGGAGGTTGCTGGGATCCTGCTTTGATTATCTGTTAACACTTTAAAAGAACTTGAAAGAATCATATTGTCATACTCCAAATTTTAATTGGGTTTTATTTATAAGATTTTGCTATTTCCTTCACTGAGGTGTATTTTATTTTTAAACATAAGTAAATATTTTAAAATGCAGGTTTACAAGTTACTTAGAATACTCATTTAAGGACTCTTTAACTAACATATGAAAACATCATACAGGGGTGCCTGAGTGGCTCAGTCGTTAAGTGTCTGCCTCTGGCTCAGGTCATGATCCCAGGGTTCTAGGATCGAGCCCCACATTGGGCTCCCTGCTCAGCGGGAAGCCTGCTTCTCCCTCTCCCACCCCACCACCCCCGCTTGTGTTCCCTCTCTAGCTGTTGTGTCTCTCTGTCAAATAAATAAAATCTTAAAAAAGAAAAAGAAAAAGAAAACATCATACAATACTTAATCAGAATGGGTTAGAGTTGAGTTCATCTCAGAAACTGAAACTGATTGAGATATTAGCCCATAAAGCTACTCTGGTCAAACCATCAAAAAGATTATGATTTAAACAGTATCAGTTCCCGGCCAATGCAGACACTTAACTTATCTGGGGCGCCTGGGTGGCTCAGTTGGTTGGATGACTGCCTTCGGCTCAGGTCATGATCCTGGAGTCCTGGAATCGAGTCCCGCCTCGGGCTCCCTGCTCAGCAAGGAGCCTGCTTCTCCCTCTAACCCTCCCCCCTCTCATGTACTCTCTCTCATTCTCACTCTCTCAAATAAATAAATAAATCTTTAAAAATATATATATAAAATAAACAGTATCAGTTACTTTATTTCTCAAAGACTTACAGTTAACTCTACTAAAGAAAGTAAAAAAGATTATTTTAACCTTTAAAAACACAAAATAGGGATGACTGGGTGCTCAGTTGGTTAAGTATCTGCCTTCAGCTCAGGTCATGATCCCAGAGTCCTGGAATTGAGTACCACATCGGGCTCCTTGCTTGGTGGGGACCCTGCTTCTCCCTCTGCCTGCCACTTCCCCTGCTTGTGCTCTCTCTGACAAATAAATAAAATCTTTAAAAAAAAGAGAGAGAGAGAGAGAACACAAAATAGTCTCATTCCAAGGTCTTCAAAAGTATCCTTCAATATACGGCATGGCTCTGCAAAATGAGAGCAATAATACTTTACCTCTAACAGGACTGTTATGAGATCAGATTGAGACATTTACGTGTGAATATGTTTTGAATGGTTATTAAGTCCTATACAAACGTTAGGCATTACATTAGCCTATGCTTAGCTCATCAACTGCAGACTGATGAATTAAACCAATAATGATAAAAATTAACAACCTGTTTTGTTAAGAAACTTTCAACAAAAGTATTCATATTTTTGAAAAAAGTATTCTTATTTAACTGAAGTATTTATTTAAATAGTTATGAAGTTTAATAATGGTTAATGATCTAAATAATGGACTCATAGAAGACCTTTCTACTTGGGGCGCCAGGGTGGCTCAGTCATTAAGCGTCTGCCTTTGGCTCAGGTCATGATCCCAGGGTCCTGGGATCAAGTCCTGCATCGGGCTCCCTGCTCTGCGGGAGGCCTGCTTCTCCCTCTCCCCCTGCTTGTGTTCCCTCTCTTGCTGTGTTTCTGCCAAATAAATAAATATAAAAAAAGGGGGGGGGCACCTGGGTGGCTCAGTCATTAAGCGTCTGCCTTTGGCTCAGGTCATGATCCCAGAGTCCTGGGATCGAGTCCCATAAGGCTCCCTGCTCGTCGGGAAGCCTGTTCTCCCTCTCCCACTCCCCCTGCTTGTGTTCCTGCTCTCACTAGCTCTCTCTCTGTCAAATAAATAAAATCTTTAAAAAAAAAAAAGACCTTTCTACCATTATACTACTCTAATGAATTCTTCTTGTATGTTGATACCCTAATGTACACAAGACTTTTAATTTACTGAAATAGTATACTCCCTCACGGAACCCACACCTTCATAAGGCCATAGTATATGTTCATTTAAGAAACAATTACTGTTAGTTATAAAACTATCAAAATGAACAACACTCCCTTTCAATAAGCAGTTTTCAAAACAATAAGGAAACATACACAAATAAGTAGAACCCAAGCTAGATAATGAAAAGTTCCATGAGAGAAATATAAACAAAGTTTAACAGAAGTTCAAAGAAGGCAAAAGTTATTTATATTTTTTAAAGATTTTATTTATTTGACAGAGAGAGAGATAGCCAGAGCAGGAACACAAGCAGGGGGAGTGGAAGAGGGAGAAGCAGGCTTCCCACTGAGCAGGGAGCCTGATGCAGGGCTTGATCCCAGGACCCTAGGATCATGACCTGAGCCAAAGGCAGACACTTTAATGACCCTCCCACCCAAGTGCCCCACAAAAGTTATTTCTAGCTATAAGGGAAGGGAGATAAAGAAATGTCAGGAAAAACTTCAAGAAAGAAGTCATATTTGTGCTGGGTCCTAAAGGATGCCTAGGATTTGGAAAAATCCCCAAATAAAATACGTATTTCTCTGAAAGAAAAAAATGCTTCCAGTTCACTAGGGAAAAAAACCTGTATCTTAGTAAATAGTACCAACATCCCTCCAGTCTTTCTTCACCATTAAACTAGAAGTTACCCTTGACACATCTCCCCATACCGAGTGTCCCATATCTAATCCTTCACCAAATCTTATCCATTTTAACCTCCTAAATATCTCCCAAGTCTGTCCACTTCTCTCTTCTCCACTAGCCCATCATCTCCCTGGCCCAAATTACCATCATCTCTTGCCTAAAATGCAATAACCTTCTGACTGGCCTCTCTGCTGCACACCAATCTATTTTCTACACTGCAGCCAGGATGACTTTTCCTAAAGCTAACAGACCAGGCATTATCTTCTAGACCCAAATCCTTGACACATGGCTACTCCTCTAGCCTCACCTAATACCATGTGCCCTCTCGCTCACTGAGATCCAGCCAGTCTGGTCTTTATTCAGTTTCTCAAACTTGCCAGGCTCACTAACACCAGGACCTAGGATTGCACGTGCAATCCTCTCCACCTGGAACTTCACCCATTCCTAATACCTTTCACCTAGTTAACTCCCATTCACACTTTAGATCTCAGTTACTTCCTCAAGAAAAGTCCTCTCTATTCTCCCAAACTGAATTAGATCATTTAGTTATACACACTCAGGACAGACACCATGTACTTTCATATACAGTATTTGTAAGATAATTATATATTTATTCTGTGTTTAATAATTACTTCCCTGACCAAACTATAATTACTATTAGGACAGGGCCCATAAATAATTTTGCCTTAAGAGGTGCCTGGGTGGCACAGTTGGTTAAGCTTCTGACTCTTGGTTTTGGCTCAGGTTGTGATCTCAGGATGGTGAGATCAAGTCCAGGGCCAGGCTCTGCGCTTAGCAGGGAGTCTGCTTAAGATTCTCTTCTCCATCTGCCCCTCCCCCTGTGCCTGCTTATTTGCTTGCTTGCTCTCTCTCTCTCTTCCCCCTTCTCTAAAATAAATAAATAAATCCTTAAAAAATAATAATTTTGCTGCCTGTTAGACCTGCCAACATACATATTTGTTCCTAAGTCAATTTTTTTTTCAGTCAAAATATCTATGGTGAACCAACAAGTATAGACAGCATTGCCCTGCCTGCACTACACCATGTAGTCTGTGAGCCAAGCATAGCCCCTTCACCAGCTCCCCACACCTTTGCTTACCATTATATATTTAGCAAAAATTACTGTTTTTAAACCTAATAGTTAGCATGGTATAGTAGCTAATTACTTGCTAATAAGAAGCTTAGGAAGTTTAGTCTAAACCTAGAAAAATTTACTTTGTTTGCCAAAAATCAGCACCTCCAAAGAGGGGAAGAAAATATTTCAGTGATTTATTCAGGTCAAATAAGCATTCCCAACTTCCACTCCACTGTTTACGGGAAGAGATGTGCTGTGAAATTTGGAATCAGGGTTGTGCCATTAATAGTTTGTGGTATATTTGAGGAATTTAAAGTAGCATATGAAGATTTTTTGTTGTATTCAGTTAGATAGCTATGTGAATGACAGGAAAGAGATGTGGTGACCTCCTTGGAGCACTGACTTTGAGTAAGTAAAAGGCACTAAAGAAACCCAACTTGTCAGAGCTCAAGATCATACATACCTGAGAGTGTGCAAACACCAGATTTGAAATTGCAAAAAGAAAAGAATACTACTGATTTGCCCTTGGACACACTGTTATTCAGGCCCAAACCAGATATAGAAGGATATCTGCTATTGGCCAAAATGGATTAGTAAGGACTAGATTTGCCCTTCAGCCTGAAGCAACTAAAATTATTATTTTCTTATATTATTTAAATCTCTGAAAGATAAAGCAAAAACATCTTATTATGGGCTTTATAAGTATTTTAAAATGTATGACAATAGCACAAAGGCCAGAAAGTAAGAAATGGGAGTATAACGTTATAAGGTTCTTATAT